TGTGTGAGAATGAGTGTGTTGTGTGAGTATATGAGTGTGTGAGAATGCATGTTATGTAAGTGTGTGTGAGAGAATGTGAGTGCTGTGCGAGAGAATGTGTGTATGAGTGTGAGTTTGAGTGTATGTGTGTGTGTGTGTGTGTGTGTGTGTCAGGGGATATCACCCCTCCAGTACACTGTCTGCCTCTTCTGTCACATGCAAAGTCCTATATACTGGGTGTCGACATTTGTTTCTGACCCCAGTTTAACTGAGAGCCACGAAGCTGCTTACCACTCCAGGGGCCCTTCTCAAGGTGGTCAAAGACTGTGTACGGATTAGTTAAAAACAAATACAATCAGATCCTTTCTCTGAACTTAAAAAATTACTTTTATTTTAGGAACCAATAAAATTATGGCAAATATTTACAAATAATTATCTCACATAAAGGTTACATAAAATCAATTCTTCACAAGAACAGTCACTCATGAAAAGACACAGATATTGAAACTACGCCAACCTTATTGCATGTTTCTCCAGCTAATTTAAAATAAAGGTGTTGCAGCCAACCATTTAACTTAAGATAAAACCACAAATCCCAGGTTTGACGAGAAAAAAAAAAGTTTAAAAAAAAAATAAACCAGTATACCATCCCAGTGTCCTCCCAGGTCCCACCCGAAGCCCCGCCCTTCCCCCAACAAAAGAAAAATATGTCCAACATCTTTGGCAAATTGGCACTGCTGTAATTACATTCAAATATTATCACACACAAAAGCAACACACATCACTAAGAAAAAAAAAACCACCAATATTTCAAGTCAGTTCTACTAGAAAAAAGAATAAAAAAACATACACACTTTTAAGAAGCTTTTTGTTTCTCAATCTGCTGGAGACAGATCGTCTCCCACTTTCAAAGGCAATTCAATTGTGTGGTTGTATTTATTTTTTTGTTGTTTTTTTTGTATATTTTTTTAACAAGCGTCTATGCAGGCATCACAAACTTTGGCGGATACAGTAGATATGCATTTCTTTGATGCTGGGCCAGTCCGTAGGGCAGTGTTAACCATCTGAAAGAATGAGAAGCAAAAGCCACTTGTCTTCCTGGCAGAGCTCTATCGGAATGTCATCTACATCCCACAAAGACTCAATGTCCGGGGGCCACTAGAGGGTGGCAAGCCAGGGCAGTATCGTCTAGCAGGAGTCAAAATTCCAACCCCTGCTCACTGTGGGGCGGCCCTGTAACCAGGCAGAGAAGCAGCATGCTGGCCACAACAGGTCCTCATGCCCATTACCTACACTGTGCTGGTGGCTTGGGCCTGGGGCCAGCTCTGTCCCTCTCTGAGCCCTGGGACAGGCTGCTGCTGGGTCCACTCACCTTCTGTGACCAAAGGCAAGCAGAGCCAGCAAGAACTGGCATCGGGAGACACAACAGTTCTTCTGAGTTTCATGTCCTAGTATCAGAGAGAGGGTGTGTGTGTGTGTGTGTGTGTGTGTGTGTGTGCTAGAGAAAGGTCTGTGTGTATGATTGACTGTGTGAGTTTGTGTGTGTGCTAGAGGGAGGTCTGTATGTGTGTGTGACTGTGTATTGAGACTGTGTACATGTATGTGTGTGTGTGTGCTTGTGCGTGTATGTATGTAAACTCCCCTATTCATGCACTTGAGCACACGGCATGGAGAAGAAGGCCTGACTACGAGGCTCTGAGTTTTGCACAATGTTTAAAATGGATTTGGGATTTATTTTCTTTTTAATTTTATAGCAATTAATTGGCTATTGATCGGTTGGAAAGTCCAACTCTCCATTCCCTCAAATCCAATGAAATAGTTTCGTTAAAATGTACTCATGCTTGAAAACAAGGGGGTCATTAAATAGTTTCCTTTCTGTTCCACTCTAAGTGAAATGCACCATTTGTAAATCAAAAACCCATTGTTACATGGTCTCAAGATGCTTTTGGAGAGGATGAAGAATGTGCCATCTGCATGGTGGTTTGGGGGACTATACCCCCGTGTGCAATTTAGCAAGCGAGTGAACCAGGTCGGGACAAGTGAGACTACAGGCTGGTCTCCTGAAGTCAGGTTTTAGAGACAGTGAGAGGCACAGAAATGCCAAGTCTCTAACCTTTTTGCTAGTTTTCCTTGTTCCCTTCTCTACCCCCTAACCAAAGCTGTCCAGGCTGAGCCTGATCCCAACTGAGAGCTTACCAGCATGCCATGCCATGCCATGCCATGCCCACAGTGAGGACAGAAACAGCAACTTGGTACTTGCTACTCAGGAGACTAAGGTGTAGGCAGAAGAATCTAGAGGTACTAAAGGGTGGCTGTGTTCAACCGCATCTGGAGATGAACTAAGAGGAACTTCTGGATTGAAACCCATGAATGGTAGTGATCAGATATGAGTACCCCATTGGTCCTCGAAGGACCCAGGAACTGGGCCTCAGTACTGACGAATTACCAAAGACAAAAAGAAAGATGGATGCCTGCTGCTCCCGGCATGCAGCTCACTCTACCTTCGCTGCATCTGTAACCAAACAGCACCTGTGCAAGGGACTCACTATGTGTTCTGCAGCTGGCCCTTGGGGACCCGGCTGCCAAGGCAGGAATAGCCTTAGCTGACAGCAAGAAAGTGTGGATCAACTCTGTGGCTCCCTCATGAATATGCAAAAGGGAATCTTGAGGTCCAGGGACAACAAGGGCCAAGGAGCTGAAGGGGCCACTGGGAGGTAGGGCAGACTGAAGGCAAGATGTCGTGGCCTGACTGTCCAAGTCTGCAATCATGTGTTTTGTTTCCTTTTAAGAAATGCACATGCCTTGGACCTCTTGGAGGTTAAAGCAATAAAGGAATAAATTTATCCAGGTGCACCACCGTGTGCCTGGAAACTATCACAGGCAGACTCCAGATGGGTGACAAGGCCAGGGCCACCAGGGAGCTGGTCTAACTCAGAGACTTATGGGGTCAACCTACTCTAGCCTGGCCTGGCCTGGCCTGTGCAGGGGTCTCCCGGGAGACCGCGTTTCCGATGCCACTTGTTCCTAGTATATGCTTGGGAGTGCTCGGTTTGCTTTTAAGATTTGCTACCCATGGCTTGGAGTTAAATTCTAGCTGAAATGTCACCTACAAAGGGGTGGATGGAGCTAAGGCTGCCAAAGGCACATCAGTCACTCTGAAGTTTGACTCCTCATAAGAGGATTTCACCCCTCAATGCCTTGTGGCCACATCTGGGGCTCTACACATAGAAAACCAGCAGCTCCCCTCATACCCACCACCACTTCCAAAGTTCTAGAAACAGTTTGAGCACCGCTCCTCTCCCTCCCATCTTCCCCAAGTGTTCATGAAAGAGCAAGGAGAGAACAGAAGGGCTTTCAACAAGACTGGTTCACAAGTTGGTGGCTGATTGGCCCGATTCAGCCCATAGGCATCTTTTTCTTTTGGCCAACAGAGTGTTTTTAAAGTTTTCACTATTGAGATGCCAACCCATGGGCCAAACATGCTCTAGACACCTGGGGATATACCATACCCTGCTGCTTTGTACCCTGCCCAGAGGGTGGCTGCGAACCACCTGACCGGCCTCAGGAGAGGCCTCTGGAGAGGCCAGGTTCTAGACCAGGCAGCCTTGTATGTTGTCACAGTTTGTTCCAAAGTAGAAAGGGCAGAGAAAAGAGAAAGAAAGGGGACGGCTCATGGGACGTTTGTATCTAGACCCTGCCAGGGACTAGAGACTATGGTACAGGTTTGGACACACTGTCCTCAGAGCCTCAGGGTACAGCAGGGAAAAGGCTCCATGGGAAAACTCAGAGGTGTTTGTGGGAGTTTAGGTAAAGACTGAAAGTATCAGTGTTGATGGGACCCTCAAGGCCACCAGTCCCCAGACCCTGCTTGTTACTAGACCAACTTTTGGGCTCTGTTCTTTCTTTTCGCGTTGTAGGTCTGGGGATTTCTGGAGGACTCAGGGGTGGGAGTCTTCAAGCCATACACTTCGTGATGGGATCTCAACTCTGTGGGCAAAGAATGTGGCTCAGAGACTGGAGGATTCACTTCATCCTTATCTTCACAGTGAGCCTCGAATGTCAGGATCTTGACCTCGTGGGGTAGTGGAGCATTACAAAGCACTGTACAGTATCGTTTATGAAGACAATCTCTAAGCTGGTGACTTAGCAAAGGGACGGTGGGTTTGTCATATATTCACAAGTTCTCAGGCTGGAGCTAGACAAATGGTGTGGAAATGTCTTTTTTTCACAAAGTTCAAACAGGACTGAAGGTCCTTGGACCAATAGCCCAGCCTTCTGCCCCGGTGCTGGTGAAACCCCAGACTCCGTTTTGAGTTCTCTGGCTTGTGCATCTGCAGTGTGAGGGTGCTAGCTGGAGAGAGCAGGTGTGCAAACATGAGACCACCCACAATGCATTTGTGTCTCTGGAGCTGGCGAGAGCAGTGTGTGCGTGAGCAGCCATGTACCTCTGTGCCCTTGTGCTTCTGCCTGGCTTCTCTCCCAGGAACCACGGGGTTGACTAATAACTACAGACTCCAGTCTGAGGCCCAGCAGCACCTCGGGTGCTTTCCTCGGAGAGGAGAGACATACAGATGGAGTTCCTTGTGTGGGCAAGATGAGGCGGTGGCGGGGAGGGAGCCACCGTGGGGCGGGGTGGGCTTGCTGAGGAAGGGAGGTGTGTGCACTGAAGGCGGTAAGGTACCTGGAGGTTGTGCCCTCCTGCAGTTTGGAACTGGGAGGAGCACAGGATGAACATCATTAACAGAGCAGAAGCAGGGACAGAGAAGGAGTGAGGATGGAGCCTTCTCCTACCTTAGCTGACAAAGGCAGGCTGAATGCAGGTTGCTCATCTCCCGGGGGTGGGCTTGAGGCCCTAGCTACCTTCCTCCGCTAGCAAGTTCCCCAGGTGCTAAGTCTGCTCCAAGCTCACGTGCCTTGCCTCTAGCTTGGTGACAGGGATTCTTGGCAGTTCTACCAGTTCGGAAGCCTGGTCTGGAGTGTTGGGACAAATGGTACCCCCTGCCATCTTGACTGTCACCTTCTCTTCCAGGTACAAGAGATGGGTAGACAGAAGTGACAGCGACCACCATGTGTTAGAAGGGGCCCAGGTCCCAGCCCTACCTCTGCTGGGACTCCACTTTACCAAGCCTCAATTTTTTCTTTTGTCTTATTACCCTATGGGAGGTATTGAGGCACAAAACAATGCGGGGTGGGTGTGGGTGTGGGGGTTCTGTTTGGTCTCCCTGTCTGATTCTAGACTTCCCTAAGCTGGGCCCCAGTTTCCTCTCAGAACTAAACTAGATGTTTTTGAGGCTCTGTGGTTCCCATTCTTGCTTCACACTTGATTGGAACATTGGCAAGATCCCGTATGCTTGCTCAAAAGTGAGGGCCTGACCCAGGTGACACTGCCAACGCCTCAGCTCCCTGGGAGGAAGGGAGAGAAGGAAAAACAGTGAGATCGGCCAGCTGTCAGCCCAGCAGAAGCTCAGAGAGGTACAGGTCTGAGGTCCCACTAGACAACAGACCCTAGGGACACTGTCAGGGAAATGACTGCTTGCTGTCCTCAGTTTAGACAGGGGTTCTTCTCTGCAAGAGGGACCGTGTGGAGAACAGAGGTCCCAGATGAATGAATTGTGTCACTGGGCACCCCAGACTCAAGCCCACCCTCAAATTACCCATCCCCAGCTGGTCCCTCATTGCTTGTCCCGGCCCTCCCCAGCCCTTCCTCGGTCTCCCACATATTCCTCCACCTTTCCCACAGCGAGTTCCATCTTGACACCTTTTATGGACAGGCTGGCCTGCAGGTGTAAGTTGGGTACCTGCCACACCCCCACCACCTTCGTGCCCAGCCACAGTCTGTGCTCTCCAAGGGTGGCAGGGCTGCTTGTGAGGAAGCTCAGGTCCTGGCTGATGCCCGCAGCAGGTGCTGGTCCTCAGTGCAGACATCAGTCCTTTCTGTTAGCCACTGTCTCTGTGGCTGGGACAGACTTGCCCAGAATCCAGTTGTTGGGGTCCCAGAGGACAGCTGTGAAGTGCCCATGGCTGATGTCCAAAGTGACTTGAGCTTGGGCAATGCCTCAGAAAACACGTTCAGTTTGGTTCCAGGGGTCAGGAGGACCAGGAAAGCCTCAGGCTTGTCCCTGGCCTGGGTCCAATGATCTTTTGATCCAGAGAGCTATTCAGAGTCACAATGCCATCTGCACTTGATGAACCTCTTACTTTAGGAGAGCAGCTGCCCCAGACAGTTCTCTTGGAGTCCCTGGATTAAGAAAAGGACTGTTGGCGCTGCGGTGACTCCATGGAAATGAAGGTGAGAGGTCAGAGCGTCTGTCTCTCCGAGGTGTATTCCTTTGGGGAGGAACCTCAGGGGAAGCTCACGCCGTGACCACCAGTGAGCCTTGTAGATATGAAAGAAGTGGAGCGAGCTCGAGGCCAGGCATCCTCAAGGTGGCTGCTGTCCGTCTCAAAGACAGCTTTGAGTTGGAGCACTGACAGGGCACCAGGGCAGAGGGGGGTGTTCTGTGCAGGGCTGGAAGATAGCCTGTGATGCATTGTGGGTAATCTGCTCTGTTAGACCCTCAGGTCCACAGAGAAGCGAGAAGGTATTTACATGGGTGCTATGAAGCCAGCTCGCCTCTTCACAGACGGGCAGACAGTCAGGAGGGACTGGCAGACCGGGCTTGGCTGCAACGGTCTTCAGAACAGCAGAGAAGCCTGTCACCCCTGGGAGAAGCGCGTCAATTGACTCTTGAAATGGATGAGAACCCAGAAGTCCAACAGCCCTACCTGGATCCGGGGGCAGGAAAAAAATGGAGGGAGGGTGCTCCAAGTGTGTGTGGGATGGGGTGGGAGACGGACTTGTCGGGTCCCTCTGTCTATCTTGGGAATCGGGAAGCTGTCTACCTCAATGATATGCGTGGTGAGAGTTGGTGCACATGGCTCTGAGGGTCAGTGGCGGTCGTAGGCGGTGGCTGCAGCAGGTGGCGCAGCTCCTCGGGCTGCGGCGCTGTAATAGTATGGGGATCCTGGAAGACAAGAGGGCACGGTGGTCAGACCTGGGGGTCCCCTTCCCACCAGTCTCCCCACCTCTGTCCCTGCTGTCCTCTCATCTGCTCAGGCCACTGTCCACTTCCCTAGGACCTTTGTTCTGATCTTTTCCCTGAACTGCCAGCCTGATCAGGGCCGCCCAGAACTGCACGCAGATGGAAGCCCCTGGTTTCTGTCCTGGCTGCGGCACGTGGTTTCCCCTTCCTTTTGTGTGGCTTCTGGCTACTTCCAAGTTATTGGGAAGAACTGGGTAGTTGTCCCGATGGACCTCAAAGTCTAAAATATTTAGTGTCTGGTCTTGGGTAAAAACATCTTTGAGACCTTACCTACAAGAGTAAAAGGCTTCAGGTTTTTGTTTGATTGACAAGCCTTGGCCAGCCTCTCTGGACTTACTGGCCACACTGCCCATTATTCCCAGCCATGGTCCATACCATACCCAAAGTCTGTGCCTGGTGTTATCATCTACGTGGGGCATCTCACTCAACTGTAGGGGCAGGGCCAGTGACCCCGTCTTATCAGACGCAGGACCCCTGCCTGCAGTTCCCGGCCCCTATGCTCCTACCCTCTGTTCTGTCTAGGCCTCCTTCAAGTTCTCAGCCCTGCCCTCTCCTTTGGGAAGACTCTCCCACAAGCTCACTTTCCTTCCCAGGTTGAGTCACACGCTGTGGCCACCTCTCTCCTTGGTGCGTTTCCTCTATCCCAGGGCAGAGAATCCTAAACAGGCAAGAACTGGGCTCTGGTCTTCTTGGCTTTGCCCCAAGTTCCCAGCCCTGCTCAGTGAGGATTCTGGTATGAAGGAAAAGTGGTCCCGAGCGAGCAAGCAGGAGTGGAGACACCCCTTGGCCACCCTGCACAATCATTTGCTAGTTTGCTCCCTTCCTGACCGCAATGGCGGCAGGGAGGGGCAACAGCAGAGAGAGCCACTGATCCAACATGGTGGACACTCAGAGCTAAGGGAAACTGACCCATGCATGCCGGCTTGCACGTGTAAACCAGGGCTTGGGAGCCTGAGGCAAGGAGACTACCCAGAGGTGGAGGCCAGCCTATACTGAGACCCTGCCTCAGGGGAAAATTTTTAGAAAGGAGCTGGGCTTTCAGACAAACTCTGGTGACTACTGACAGAAGTGGGATTGGTCTGGGCTCAGGCTTGTGTGTGGACGTGGACATGGGCGTGGACGTGGACATGGGCGTGGACGTGGACATGGAGCAGCTGCAGCAGTGTATGTGGGATGAGGCCTCTTCCTGTCGGTACCAAAATTCTTCCCTAGGGACCTGGGGAGCTGAGGATCCGGGGACCTGGCTGGATTCTCAGAACCATGGAGCTTCAAATCTTTCACAGCAAGGAGACGGATGTTTAGCAATATAAAAACCCACTCACATCACACCTCAGTGCTGAATCCTGGGCTTGAACCAAGGATGTGTGTCCTTGGTGAGAGCTTCATCCTCCATAACACAGCTCCATGTCAACAGCAGAGGGATTGACTCACTGCAGCTGACAGAAGTTGGGGTCCTATCAGCCGGTCTTATTGAGGTGGGCCTAATGAGCTGATTCCCAGAAGAACGGGCTTGGAATTGTTCTGAAGTCTCATTCAAATCCAACCAACCCTGACTGGGTCTCTCCATAAATGGGGGCAGAGCCTGATCATTCTCCTGGATACCCTAACTGGGGGTGGAGCTGTGTGGTTTTCTTCATAGGCCCAACCGTGTCTTGGTGGAAGACCATGACCAGGTGGCTTTGCTCCTGAGCCTCAGTTGTGTTCCTCTTTAAAAAGGGGTCACAGGGGGGCAAATGTGAGGGCACCCTGAAATGAGGGTGTGATGATGCTGTGGAAATGCCACCTTCTAAGGACTTACACCTGTTAACTCTTATCCGGGAGGAACTATGATGGTTTTATGGATGAGGACACTTGTTGAACCACACGCGGCTAGCATGCGATAGGGTTAGAGGACATGAGCATCCTGACGCCCTTCCACACTCTGCCTCACAGGCTGATCCACTCTTGCCCCTGACTCAGGAAGACGGGGTAGCCTCCGGCAGTGATAGTGTGGTGGCCTCTCCTGGCTGTTCCGTGAGGCCCAGGCAAGCATCGCACACCCGTGAATCCCCCAAAGACGTTCTCCTGCTGCCTGCAAGGTCACTTCCCTAATCTAGCCCTGACTCTTTCCTCCATGGGATGGGACAGCAACAAGGTGGGGATGGGGTTCATTCCCTGCAAGTCTGGAGACTCCACGAGGATATGAAAATCATGGGGGCTACATCCACAAAGGGCCTACAAGAGGCAGGAAGTGGAAGGAAAGAAGCCCTTTCTAGAAGCCCTGCGGTGAGGTTTCCAGCTCTCTCCCAGGGCTCTGTTCACCCCTCAGGGCTTAGCCAGCCTGGGTGGCAGCCTCCGCTGAGGCTTTGATTTACCACCGAAAATGAAAACATCGCCTCACAAAGCAGTCTGTCTTCTTGGCGCCCATTAGACCTCCATCTAGAATAAACTTGTCCTTCCTTCTGTCATTTTCCCCCCTAATTCACATTATCATCAATTTACCTCTTGACACAGTCATTCCCGGCTGGCTCAGGGCTGGTTCCCTCCCTAATCCCTTTACAGCGGCCACGGGTGCCCCTATTCTAATCCTAATTGACCATGGCCTGCTTTTCTGCTGCCAACCCTGCCAGCTCTGCTTGCCTCTGCTGCCCCTTCGCCAGCCTGGAGGGTCCCACAGGATGGGGGAACCCATGGGATGAGGTGCTGAGGGTAGCTGTTAGTCCTCACTCTGACTGTGTTGGTAAAGGAGGCTTCAGCCAGACCAGCTGGCGTACCTGGGGGGCCTGTGCAAGGCTGGTCTGAGTGGGAAGAGTGAGTTGTGATGTATGTCTTCCTGGGCTCACCTAAGCCTGAGGAAACACAAGCCAGGCCCCTAACATTCCTGGCCTCCTTCACCCCAAATCCGAGAAGTCATCAGACTGGATCTTTCTGTGGCAGGGCCCGTATGATGGGAGCGTGGGAGCAGACCGGAGCTATTTGCAAGACTGTGGTCAGCTGAGCCACGTGTCTTCATCTACATGCAAGCAGGATCCCTATGGAGTCAGAGCACCGGGTCTCAAGAGCTTCACGTTCAGTGCCGGTGAGAGAGGCTACCATGGTAACCAGCCTCATTTCATCCCCAAGCCAACTGAAGCCCAGGCGTGTAGGTGGCCTGGCAGATCCAGGTTATGGACTCGAGCCTTGTCTCATGTTGTAGGCCCCACACGGTTCCGACTCCCCCTGTGTTGGAACTCTTCCTGTGGCTCAGGCCGGCCTCTGGCTTGTCCTCCTGGCTTCCCTTGCTGCTGGGGCTCAGGCGTTTTACCCAAGAGCTGCCTATTAGACTCTTGTGCTGGACATTGATGGCGAAGGAAGCACCTTTGGGAAGTGGGCTGGGGGATGCCCTGTACTAGAAACAGGCGTCAAAGGCCTCTGTGCCTGAACGGTGGTGGGGAACAGCTCCCGAGGCTGTCAAGCACCTAAGGAAAGCTGCCTCCTGCCAGCTGGCAGCCATGGGGTGCTTACAGCGGAGCAACCTGGCCATGCCACTGAGTGTGTTCCTGGCTCTTGTCCCATGCCCATTTATCGAGTCTGCCTGGAGATGCTGGGAACCTCTGATGTCCTTCACTAAATATGTTTCTGCTTAAATTAGCCAGAGTGAATTCTGTTGTTTGCAATTATAAGTCATTAACCTGGCTCTCAAAACCAGCCGGCTGTCCTCGTCACACACAAGGCTTGAGTGTTGAGGGCTCTCACCTGTGTCTACAGGGGTCTAAGGTCTCCTTCTGACTGTAACTGCCCCGCCTGAATCAGTGAGGGAGCTTGAGGGAGCCCCATCACACACTGCCTAAGCACGCAGACTCTAGAGTCAAGGGGACACTTCGTCTGACACCTGTCTGTATGTGATCTGGGGTGAATGAGTCTGCCTTTCTCCTCTACTCTCAGAGACAGTAGGGTGGCTCCCATAAGGTCTTTGAAAGGATAAAATGCGATGACCCCATGACACATTTTCCCGGTGCCTAACAGAACTGTAGACAATCAGAGTCTTGATTCTGCTTCTGCCCTTTTCTCTAGTTCCCTGAAAGCCCTCAGCACCTAGCACAGGTACTCTTGTTCCAGGTTCCCTCCTTCCAGCCTGCAATGTCACTGGACAAGGCCTGATGTTATGGGTTGTGAACTGGCTTTTCCTCAGATCTGAGCAGAAAAGCCTCAGGCCCCCAGTGCCACCCCTTTGGACACGCCACAGCCCTGCAATCTGTTCCCAGCCTCTCAGCCTTGTTCAAAGTCCCTCGTTTGTGCATATTTCACAACTACCCTGACTCCTATACCACCCCTGGGTGGTTTCATCCCCACTGCGGTGCCCCTTAAATCCCCAGAAGGGAGTATCTCTGCTAATCTCTGGGATGTCTTGTGAAAAGCACACAATGGTGACTCCTCTCAGCAGGGCTTTGTGCTACCCATGGGCTGGATTTCTGCCCTTCTCATGTTCCCTAGGCCATGAAGTCCTGCGTAGCAGCCCTGGGTCAGTGTGGCCTTAGAAAGCCATTCCCACAGGCCCTGGACCTGCTTTGAGACACACTCCCTGTGAGTCTTCCAGAATTGGAACCAGGGCTCAGTTGGAAGGAAAGCAGATCTCGTGAGAGTCTCCGAGTCTTTTGTAAGGCAGTCTGGGCCTCTCCCTCACCCGGAGCATCAATTGCCCATGCTCCTATTTCATCCACAGGTGTGCATGACACACCAGTATGCAAGGAGTAGTCCAGGGTCCCAAGACCATGTCCCATGCCCAGCGCAGGTGGTAGTGAGAAAAGTGGCATCTGTACCCACCTGCCTCTGCCTCCCGAGTGCTGGGATTAAAGGCATGTGCCACTACCACCCAGCTCCGTGTGTCTGTCTTAATCAGACCAGAGTGGGGAAGGAATCAAGGCTGAGACTTAACAGGCCTAAGATTTGACAATAACTAAGGATCCAGGGAATTCATGGGCTCTGTCTGAAGGAGGCCTTGCTAATGTGGACAGAGAGGCCAGAGCAGTCTCAAATGCTTCTTCCTCTCTCCACTCACTGCCCCAAGCAGAACACCTTTAGCTGACTATAGGAGTGAGACCGGTGCTGTTACCTGAAAGCTGATTGGCTGGTTCTACCTGCTAAGGGTTTAAAGGGTGAAATCTGCATCCGGGTTGTGACCTCTGTTTCAAGTTACTTCCGCTTTGGTAGATACTCACCTGCTAGCTTCATGTAGGCTAGTTAACAAACCAAAGGGCTCTTCAAAGCTAGTCCTGCTTGGGGTGTGAGTGTGTGTGTGTGTGTGTGTGTGTGTGTGTGTGTGTGTGTGTGTGTCTGTCTGTGTACAAACACACTGATGATATTCACAGACCAGGCTCCTCCAGCCATGGACATTCTGCCAGTTTGAGTCTTGGATAAGGTTAGGCACCAGCTGAGTCCTACACAGCATGCCTTGGCAAGCCACAGGGCAGCTGGTTTCTAATAGAGCTGGCACTACTTGTGCCCACAGCAGACATCATTAATCAATCACTGGGCCTTAGTTCCCTTAGTAAGACAGTTTTCCAGGCAGTCAGTGCCATTCAACCCAAGTCTGTATTTTCAGTGCCTTTTATTTAGGAAATTTGCATTATATTTAATGGTTCTTAAGAAATACTAGTTACTCATGGGCAATCATTTTTCTATCTTCTTTCCTGTCTCACATTCCCCCACTTGAGCTGCAGGGGAATTAACTGCCCTAAGACCACCGTAACAACCAAGGACACAGGGACCCCATAAGACAGTACTCACCAAGCAGTCCTGGGTTGGGGAACCTCCACGAATCATTGTAGGAAGAATACTGAGGGTGGCTGTAGGGACTCCCAGAAAATTCACTCCCTGCAGAAGGTAGGAAGAGGGACAAACAGGAGACACCGTGAAATCAGGCTCAGAAAAGGCTGTGGGTTCAGGCCAGCTTAAACACTGACCTCAACTCTAGTGTAGCCCCCCTGTGCTGTGAATCCAGACTGACTGTGCCAAGGGCAGCCAGCTGGACAGAGACATGAGACACAGGCCTCCCCATGCCTGGAGAATGTAGACAGCAACTCTGCTGACTCGAAGGGATGGGCTAAATGCTTAGGAAATACAACATAGGGAGTGGGCTGGGGTCTTCTAGACCCTGGGGAGGAGACAGCTGTCCATGGTTGTAGGCATGCTCAGGAAGGCATTGTGAACTGCTCGCGCGTGAAGGGAGGGTAGGGTGGACCCAGAGGACAATTCACTAAGATCCAGCAACCTGAAGAGCTAAGCACCCACCCTAGCTGGTCCCTGGGTTTGCAGCAGTCCCAAGGGAGTCTCTTTTCTGCCAGCTAGGCCAGGGCACAGCTTCACATCCTGTTCCCACACTCTCGTGGCAGCAGACTCTGCCCACTTCGTCCTCCCCTTTCCCTACAGCTGGGGCCCCAGAGGACAGACTGCATTCTCAAGCCTCCACACAGAGTGTCTGAGAGCCTGCTGTGTCTAGCGGAGGCTTTGGAGCAGGGCATGGAAAGCCAGCAGGGGCACTGAATGGTTTGCTTAAACCCCAGGTAAGGCCCTCCCCTGCTGGAGATGACAGAGGTTACATGGTCCTGAGAGACGACCTGCGGCCAAGCATGACTCCACGATCCCCCTAAAGGGAATGCACAAAGGCCAAAGGGCAAGAGGCATTGGAAGAGATCAGTCCTCCTCCCACCTCATAGGAAAACACAGGCAGAGTGTACACACACGCACACACTACACACACACCACACACACACACACACACACACACACACACACACACACTCACACACACACACGCACACACGCGCGCGCGCACATACACTCCTGCTCAGGCCTCTCCTGGGGCCACTCCCAGCCTGACAGGCTGAGCCTTCCAATTCTCTGTTTTTTATGCCTCAGTGGTCAGGGTGTCAGGTTCCGGCATACAGAGGGAGTGCGTGGTGACAGTGCTGGGCCGCACAGCCCAGCCTCGGCCTATCCATCAACACTACCGTGCCTCCTCTCCACCCTCTCCCTCTTCCTCCTCCCCCTCTTCCTCCTCTTTAAGAAGCAGGTTGGGGGGAACGTGGAGATATGAAAGCCTGGATGGGGGACACATTGTCCCTAAGACTCTGACACCATGAACTGCCCCATCAGAGGGACATCCTGATAGTGTCGTGCCTGGTCTATCTCTTATTAGCACTGTATCTCCTACTGCCTGGTCACCTCTCCCAGGAAGCCTCTCTGAGCTCCATCCCCAGTGGAACGAATCTCAAGGCCACTCAGCTGGAGTGAGGTGACACGGACCCCTGGAGGCCTGCAAAGGTACATGAGCAACATCCAAACCCACTAGGAGTGAGCCTAAGTCAGCAGCACCTCGTTCTTCCAGCTGTGTGGCTTCCAGACGGCACCCTTTCCTGCTAGCACAGAGCACCCTGTGTGGCCCTCTAGTGTCTCAGTGGCCTTGCCTTGGCTGCAGTCTGGACCTGCAGATCTGTGTCCTGCCTGCTCCCCGTATAATGCCGTTTCCAGCAGACAGGGTGCCCAGTAGTTCACTGGTACCCCCATGGCACAGAGTGCCTGAGGCTCTTTCCTACCCTCTTTCTGGGCCCCATGTAGGAGAGGCCCTCCCTGGGATGCTTTCCCCGACCAGCCCACCCTCCTGTCCTGCCATGGTTTATTCCACGGAGCTCATCGTATCCCAACCTGTCTTGTTCACCATGCTCGTCTTGTTAATTATCCGTCTCTTCCACGAGGCTGAAAACTCCTTGGGGACAGAGTTTTGTCTGTTTATGTCTCGATCCCAAGCTTCATCACCAGGCTTGGCAGCCATCTAGCATGCACGGATGAGTAATTGTTCACTGAGCGGGTGAGCGAGGAAGTGAATGAATGGAACACCCAGGTCAGCTGGGGACAAATCACCGAGTAGGCCTCTCACTTGGACAACGGCCACCACTCCTTCTTCCATCATTACCTTCCACAGCCAGGGACCTGCTGTGGCATCTGCTGTAGGCCAAGATGTAAAGCAATTTCTGATCCGTTATCTACCGCAGCATCCGGTGCCCAGGAGGAAAGAAAGTCACCAGGGCCCCTACCTGGTGTGCTCAGAGTCAAGGTGAGGCGGGCACCCGGGTCCTTTTCCTGTGACACGCCCTGTTACACTAGTACATTCTTGGTAAGCGGAGCATGGCCATCTCAGAAACATGAGACTGACCTAGAGGCTGTCCAGCCACCTGCTGGGGACGCTGCAATGGTGCCTGATTATCTGGCATGCTACACAGTAAGCTAGCGGAGTGTACGGGGTGGAGGAGCCAAGGTCTCACTACCAGGGAAGCGATCCACAGATCTGGTCCATATAGTATCAAAACTGATTGTGGGTCAGCAGACTGACCAGGTGGATGCCAGTTCTTGATCGATTTGGTACAAAGCCTTCATGGGTTCAAATCCTGAGCCTGCCTCTTCAAAGTTCTGGGACTCTCAATGGGTCACTCAACTCCTCTGTACCTCAGCTCCTTCTCTGAAAAGTTAGGGCAAGTTCAAAGCTCATGTGGTACTTGTAGGGCATCCAGAGAAGGCGCAACACATGTCAGCCATAGTGGCGAGCTCCTCCATCAGTCAGCAAGTCCTCCTCCATGTCCAGAATCTCACTGAACCTCCCAGCACCCTGTGATGCTCACGGTATTAATAAAGCTGCATTACAGACATTATTACTCAGGCCAGAACACAGCTCCAAGGCCAGCTTTCTGTCTCCTGGCCTTGAACTTGCTTGTCTTTAATAAGACACTGTTTTCCCATCCTGAGCCTCTGTTTCCTCATTTGTCAAAGGATAGAACAGACCAAATGTTTTCAACCTTCCTAAGGCTGTGACCCTTTAATACAGCTCCTCATGTTGTGGTGACCCCCAACCATAAAATTATCTTGTTAATTCATAGCTGTAATTTTACTGTTATGATCTGTATTATAAATAAATATCTGATACTTACATATTTATATATACATTTATATCCCATATAAGGCTCCAAAGAGGTCAGGGTCCATAGGTTGAGAACCACTGCCATAGATCCTACCTAGATCCACACAGTAAATATGATCCTTGTGACTTTTAGGCCTAGGACTCTAACCTCCTTACCACCAGTCTGACACTGAGGGACAGCTTATTTCTGCTGAACTTCACAAAAGCAGCTTATAAATCAAGATATATTTAGCTTAGAGTCCTGGGGCACCTTCTGGGGCCACTGAAGGGTCATGGAGCCCAGCCTTAAGGATGGGTAGAACTCCAACATCAGAGGGAGGCAGGGTCTTGGAGCCAAGCTGAAGCTGTGGCTGGACTTTGAGGCCAGTCAGTGTGTGACGTGTGATGGTGAGGCCTTCCGAGAAGCCCCAGCAGAGGCGACCGCAGAGCCGGGTATGGAAGGTTCAGCACGGAAGGGTTTCCTTTAGCATGTCCCTAATGATGGAGGTAGGGGTGGCCACAGCTGAGGGAACTGGCCATCACGGGTATATAATCCTCCTCTAGAGCAGGCTTTCACGGGGTAGGAAACCCAAGTTCCTGCTTCTAGCTTTTGGTTGGGGCTTCACGAGGTGAAGTCAACAGGCCCGAGGTCAAAGGTCACACCTTCCCTTGTGAATTTCTCCAGCGAAAAAGATTTCCCCACCTTGGGGTTCCCTGCCTCTTTCTACTGGTTCATACTCTGAGAGCCTCTGAAAACTGTGAGTCCCTTAAGTCACAGCTTTTATTCTTAAAAAGTAAGGTTCTGTAAGGTCCAAGGGGGTAAATTTGTGTCCTGATAGTAGTCACTCAGTCTGTGAGACCTCCATCCACGAGGCACCAAGCACAAATAAGACCCCAAATTAACCTGTAAGCCCCACCGGCCCACGGACCAGGAAACTTCCAGGAATGCTGGGAGTTGTAGTTCTTTAAAAGTAACATCAAAGCCTCATGGGCAAAGTACAGGGCCTATGGGTTTTGTTCATGTAAGCCCCAAACAACGTGTGCCTGGGGGCCACTCAGCTGGGAAATTTCCAGGAGTAGTCCTGACCAAATTCCATCTCGGTCAGTATTTAATATTTTAACAAAGCTTCCTTCAAATTCGGGCAACTGTGGAACTGATTTTTCTCTAGCGAATCTCAGGTTTAGCACGTGTTGGCTCTCCTTCAAGGCAGGTCTGGATGCTGTCTACAGTTGGACGCATGGAATCACTAGTGCCATGGGCCTTTCCATCCTGGGCCCCGCATGGTGCATGGGAGCACAAGGGCGAACCCAGGCTGCAGCACTCCTGAGGCGGGCTGAGCTCGCTCAACCATCAGCACTTCTCAGTGCCTGTGTGGCCTTGGGCAAGGGACTAAACCTCTCTGAGCAGTCTTCTCATCTTCAACACGGACCAATGAAAGTGTTGTCTATGGTTTGAATCTGCCCACACAAAAGTTAGGTTGGTGTTCATCTCCATTGAGAAGCATTAAGAGATTGCCATACTGATTTCCAAAGCAGCTGTACCAATTTACACTCCCACCAGCAATGCAGAAGTGTTCCCTTTTCCCCACAACCTCTTCAGCATAAGTTGTCATCAGTGTTTTTGATCTTGGTCATTCTTACAGGTGTACGATGGAATCTCAGAGCTGTTTTGATTTGCATTTCTCTGATGGCTAAGGATGTTGAACATTTCCTTAAGTGTCTTTCAGCCATTTTAGATTCCTCTGTTGAGAGTTCTCTGTTTAGGTCTGTACTCCATTTTTTAAAAATTTATTTGTTTTAGATTATTTGTTCTTTTGATGATCAATTTCTTGAATTCTTTGTATATTTTGGAGATCAGACATCTGTCTGATGTGGGGTTGGTGAAGATCTTTTCCCATTCTGTAGGCTGTCGTTTTTTTCTCGT